ACCCTCCAAGCAAACCAAAACAAACAAAACCCCAAAATAATCTCAACACAATGCCTACTTTGGCTTCATGTACAAGTCACTGTTCTGCTTGTGCAGCCAGTAGCAAAACAGCATCTGGAAAGCAGGCCCTCATATGCAGGTTGAAGCCTCCATGCATTCAAGCCCACTGCTCTGCTGTTCCTCTTCCATCATATATTTGGTCAATGACCAATTTCACAAGGTGCAAATAGCAAGCCTACCCTGAGACAACAATCTGCCAACTGCAGATCACGTGAGCTTAAAAATTTTGATGGTGGCCAGCGCCATTCATGGGGTTACTCTGTGGTCCCAACCATTATGAAATGCCACAGAGCCCACAGATGCACCGAGGCAAGGGTACAGGTATCTGGAAGAAGTTAAACAGTGAAAGTAGATTTCAAATAGCATTTTTTCTGTCCTAAAGCCAGAAACAGAAGTGGGGATTCAATACAAAAGAGGTTTCTTAAAGCAGCCATTCTGTGAGGGCAAATTCCCAGGGACTTTGTCTTTGCAGCTTCTGTAGAACAAAACTCTGTGTGACCTTCTCTTACCATCTGAGAAGATTGGGATAGACAAATTGTTTCTCACACCAATAATCACACCTCCACCACGAGGCCAATTCATTCATGCCTCTGAGAAGCCAGGAAGAGCCACCCATGCTTTAACAGTCGGGACTAACAAAACCAGCACCTACTGCCTGGGGGATGAAAACGTCTCTGTGGGCCAGAAAGAGTGTCTTGTAAAGATAAGAAGAGGAAAGATCAACACATTTAATGAGGAGAGTATAAGAACTAAAGAATTTCCAATGCACACAGCAGATCCATGCTCTGCAATCCCTCTGCTCTTTAAACAACAACCCTGAAAAAGTCTGCACTTACAGAGAACATTCAAAAGATGATAAAAGGTTACAATACCACTCCTATGCTGTACAACTTTGAGAAGGAACAAAATGTCAAAAAATGCATCTCCTCTAGGAAACACAAGCAGATGTAGGACCTAATATTTGGGGATACACTCTGCCAGCACTTGACAACATCCCTTTCCTTTGCAAGCTAACCAGACACTGTTTTGCAGCACAATTTACTCCCAGTGGTAAAAAACACTGCTAAAAATTCAAGGGAAGATATGCCCCTACTGGCATGCTTCCCATGTACCACTCACTTTGCTAAACACATTGCAGGCGTCTTCCACCACATCAAGTCCAAAATCAAAAACCATACCTCCACTGCAAGTCACTGGCAGGCATAGCCTGGAGCAACAAACCAGGAACAAAACAGGAAAGCCACAGACACATGACAGGAACTGCCCATTTAACATAGCTAGAAAGGCAAGTGAGTAACTTGAGCTTCTGTTTTACTTCCTTTCCTATCACCTCCTCCTACAAGCCAGACCAAAATATGCTGGTCAAGAATCTAGGTGTGTTTGTCAGACAGAAACCTTGTCTTTTCTGCCTCCAGTCAACAGTGACAAGAACAACATTGCCTAGCCCTCACAGTCCTCACTGTGTACATGAGCCTTGGATCCCCGATTCCAAATAACAGTGACCCTCGATGTTCACCTCCAGCCACTACACACCAAGACAACTCAAGCTCTCACAGTTTAAAGAACATGGGACTATCAAACGAAACGCACGGCAGAGCCTTAATTAACCCACAACTGAAGAGCCACAGGCTCTTCCACTCAAACCAGAATTTCTAGTGCAAGGCTTCAGTCTCCTACCAGAGAAGTGGTGCTGTCTGGGTTCAAATCTTCAAGGTTTAGTACCTTGAAATGGTGTTCAAATGAATAAATGAAATCGAAACACGAACATAAAGTACCGTTGTAGCTACAAGTCATAGAGGGGATGGTGCAACAGAGAGTAACAAATTGAAACCAAACTCTAAGACTTTGGGAACAAGGGTGTGTCACACCGCATGCAACAGCACTGCATGGCACCAACCCAGCAAAAGCTGATGTAAAAGCAGTGGCTGGAGTGTTATAGGCAAGCAACAGATGGCCTAATTCTAATGGCACTGTAGTACAAACCCGTTCGTCACATCAAGGAAAATTATTCTCAGCGAGTTCTCTGGCATCCGTAGTACATGGAAGTGCAAACAAAGCCACAGTGCCATGCGGACAAGGATCAAAGACACGACAGAACTTGGGGATGACAATGACTCCCAGACCAAAACAGATGTAGAGGTTCCTGGTCAGCCAGCTGAACCCATATGATTTCTCAGATTCATACATGCCCAATCATGTGAGGAATGAACAGGAAAAAGATCCAAGAGCCCCTCACTACTAGCACACACAGGCACTTTCAATTACGGCCCTTGGTAACTCTGGTCTTCCCCACCTGTACAAATTCGCAAGAAACAGCCACCTGTAAATCCTTTTCCTGCAGCACACCAAACATGTTCTGGTCCTTGGAAACAGCACATGGCAGCAGTATCAGCAAGTCAGGGTTTGTCCTTCCAAGAAACACGTTTTACCTGCACCATCAAAAGAACTGCTTTTTCAGTTGGCAGCATCCTGTACAAGGAAGGGCAACAGACACCACCACAGGAGATACTCTGATGGAAGAGCAGAGCTAGAGAATCCAGTCAGGCCTGGGAAATAGCTGTTCTGTGAGGTTTTTCCTCCCCTCCGTCCCACTGCCTTAACTCAACAACCCACAGGAGAGCAGGAGGTTTCGCTCAAACCAGGGATGTTGACAGGACGTGAGCGTTTCTCCAAAGAGCATTGTTATGTGCTATCTGAAGGGAACTTCTGGGGATATTATAGATAAAATGTGTATGGGCCAGGAGACTGGACAACTGTTTCTCTAGAAGGACGGTCTCCTCCTGCACAGGGATTTTATTTTCCCCCACACCTCTCTCCCTCTCTGCAAATACCTGCTGCAGAAATACCCTGTTTGAACAGGGGGGACCGTATTTGCAAGAAGAAAGGAAATACCAAATACAATCCAGAAAGATTCCCTGTACTAAAGGAAACCCATCAGTGACAACATGTAAACTCTTTCCTCTTTTGCCATGTGCCTTCAGGCTCACCATTAGACTGCCCTTGACGACATTCCTTGCCTTATTCTTTGCCATCCATCCCCAGCATGGTGCCAGTCCTTGGCATGAGAACCATGGCTCGTCTGGGAGACAACCTGGCAGCCCTTTGGCAACATCCCCAGCCACCCCCAAGAGTAAGGGATCTGCTCATACAATAGCTGGTGTGTGCATTCAGTACAGGCTCTTCCCTGTTCAAGAACACAGATGTGGAAGGAGCATTGTGTCACACGTGGCTGCACAGGGTGGCAGAACCAACATCTCTGAGCAGGCATTCTTGCGAGGGCGAGGGTTTCTACAAAAACTTGTGCAGCGGTTAAAACTTCCTTCTTCTTAGAGACTTCTTCCTTCACCAACAGAGCACAGAAAACAGGGGTTCCTCAGAGCTGTCTGAACCAGAGACTGTTCCAATGGCAGAGCCAGCTGGAGGATCACAACTCTGACAGCTGTCTCCTGAGAGCTCACAGCCTAGGAACACATCACCCTGCAGCACACCTCAAGTGACAGCCTCTGCACTGAGCACAAGCAATAGTAGTGTTTAGATCATCAGTGACTGCATCATCCTCTGTCACTGGAAGAGCTCAATGAGGCTACATCCCACACTTCTCAGCATGGGAGCTAATAACCCAGTAGTTTCTGGATTTTAACTCTGAAGGTTGCCACTTGAGAGACCTGTCCCTTTTTCCATGAGGCACCTGATGACACACACAGAGTAATTTCTGCAGTTCCTGGAACCCCCAGGGGGATTAGCACGCCACCTGGATTTTCTGGGAGAGCACGGTGGGGTGCAACAAGCAGAGAAGGCTAAGCCTAGGCAGCCAAATAGGCCAAGTCCCAGGTTTGCTACCTCCACTCCCCGAACAGCATTAAGCACTGGGGTGTCTTCCCTCAGCCAAGGTTGGAAAGAACTGGTCTCCAAGTCACAGATACCATGGAGTGGGAAGACAAGAGACTAGAAAACGATCTCTGAGAAATCTTTCCATGGGCTTCTCCCTCCTTCAGTTCGCACCAGCTGATGTGTTGTCACTACCTTTAGATTTGGATTTAGACTTGAAGGAGAAGCGTTTGATGAGGCGGTGAGAGAAGCTACCAGTTTTCTTTCTGGTGGTGGAGTTGGCAGTGACATTGGACAAGTCATCGTGTGACTGGCTCAGGCCCGCTTCCTTCTGCTTGCTCCTTCTCCGGAAGATGAGCTTGGTACCGCTCCGAAGAAAGCTAACTGCAGAGACAGGAAGGAGACAGAAACCACGATAGCGTCCTGCACTGGCAAGTTTCAGGGACAGTAACACACTCGGCCATTCTTGGATATGCAGCTGTCCTCAATGGCAGAAGTGCACAGTGGGTCAGCTAATCCCAGTTTCCAAACACAAGGCAAAGTCTCAGTTTGTGACAGACTGCAACACCAACAAACACTGCCTCACTAAATATTCCGTCCCATCTCCCCTCTACATAAACTTCCTTTTACACAATATCTTCCTCACAGCGGAAGCATGCAGCATTTCAAATGAAAACCAATGCTTGTATGAATGGAAAACAAGTGAGATCATCTGAACCTGAAGACCCTGAGAGTAACATACAAGATGGAAAAGGCCTCTGAGACCAGCCTGTCTCAAGGGCACAGGGATTAACTTTGTCACCTAGTGCCTGGAACAACTGCCCACGTTTTCATGACGTGTCCAGTCTGGAGGTAAATAATGCCAACGGCTCCTTATGACTACCACAAGCAGGAGAAGGTGGAGATACCAATTGCTTTCAACTGCAAATGGATCAGAAAGACACATCCAAAACCTGCATGCCATATAACACTACAACAGTATTTCCTACAGAGGGGGTTTGCTTTCCATTTTCCCTCTTTTCCCCAACCGCCAGCCCTCTTGGGAATCTGGGTTGCACACCCTTCTACCACCCACTGACATTGAAAAAAGGGGCCTCTACAGCTCAAACCATACCTAGTTGCAACAGGGTACAACTCCCTAAAATTTGTCCTACTCTAATATTCTGAGTAATCAAGATTTTGATTTGCATTTCTTTACGTAAGTCGGGAGCAGAAAAATCCAAGGTGCACCATCCACCTGACAAATGTGCAGAAAGGCCAGGAGAGCAGCTAGGTTGGGGCAGCCCACTCCATCATTTAAAAGAAGTGAGTTTGTGTGGACATCTTACAACAGGTTAGAGGCACTAGCTACATCAATACTAACAGAGAAAGGAGGGCAATCAAGGCCCATACAATCCATACTGCTGGGCAGCCTCCATGTCCACACCACAGGTGGCCAAATTCGGAGGATGAATCATTATTTATGGACACGCGCCTGACCTGTGGACCTAGAGACCAGGGAGAGATAAGGGTTCTCTATAGTACACAGACTGCACAGAGCTCCCATCTAAGAGAGCACAGAAACTTGAAAGGCTACAGGAATCACACACCTATAAATGAAGGTCTTTCAAGTCACTCCAGAGGAAAAACAAGCCAGGAGCTCTTCCTGGCTCCATCAGAAGCTGCTCTTTGCTATGCTGAAAGGTGGCTGCAGACCTCATCCTTGGGTGGGGAACCTGGATGTCACTTTGTCCTCATGTACTGCCAATGTGATGGGCTCACTTTAGCTACCCTACCTAACAGTTCATCCTTACCTTTGTGATCTTTTAAGCTCCTTGTCTCAAGGGCTCCCGTGGAGCCAGTTTCAGACTCAACATCTTCCATGGATGGTCTTTCAGAGATGTCTGATCGCATTGTCTCATCCAGCTCCTGACTGTCCCTTTGACCCAATGGCGGTGCTTCCAGCGGCTGCGACAATTCAGTAAAATCGTGCATCTGGTCAGCTGTGCTCTCTGCCTCAGAGTCCCCATACGCTGTGGCCTCCAGTGATGCAGCATAACCCAGAGAAAGTGCCATTTCATCTTGAGCAATAGGTACCTGAAGGGGGGGTTAGAGGGGCAGACAGACATGAACACAAGATCAAAAGAATTGCATTAATCTGTCTACTTTCATCTACACCTACATATGGGTGGCCCAGTTCAGATTATACGTGCTAGACAGCACCAATGGACAATTGTCACTCTTTGGCTGAAGTATACTGGGATGTGGCCAATTACAAAGCATTCTGCTGCACATTCCTCACTCCCAAAGCAAAGTTCAAGGAGAACTCCTTATATTCTCCACAAGGTTCAAAACCAGTTATGGCAGCCAGATCCCTTTCTGCAGCTGCCCATTGTGAATTCCCACTGCCAGCTGCCCTGCAGACTGGCAAGGAACCTTTTAATACTCCCTGGGAAGCAGCAAAAGGCTTCTGATGAGCCAGTCATCCATGCTGGAACCTTCCCACACCGGTCCCTGCAGGACACGTTAGTTTCACACATGCATCCCTAGAAACAACCTCCCAAACTAGAAATTCAGCTCCTAACTACCAGAGACCTTGGACACTCCTGAGATGATCAGTGTACTACGTTTTGTTGGTGTCTTCTTGGTGGTCTTGTTATTCGTCTCAGTTAGCTGCCTGATTGCCGTCTCAGCCACTGGATCCAAGCCATTGGGCAAATGGCTATCCCCTGAGCACAAGAAAAATACCGATGCTTGGAAAAGCAACCTTCAGCAGGAGGGAAAAAGTCACTCGCGGACCACGATGCTTGCAATAGGTAACTTACATGCACACAAATGTACTTTCCCCACCCACAGTCTATGACAGAGTTGTCCAAATAAACAAAATGGAGGAAGCTCTGTGTAGGTAGCTCTTGGCTTTTTTCAGGTACTTGAAAAGTTTCATTTCCCACCAGGCATATGATTAAAATACACCCCCCCCCCCCCCCCCCACTCAACAAAGATTTCCAAAGACTCCCAATAGTTTGCTTTGGCAGCAAACTGTCAAAACGGCTGCAATGCTCTGTTCTAGACAAAATCAGAGCCCCAAGTGCAGGGTAACCAAAGTTGTTTGGGTCTGGATAGCCTGGAAAGTTCTTGTCAAGCAAGGAAACACTCATAGTCACTGACTGGATAATCAAAGGGGAATGCCTTTTACCTGCCCACACACCACCATCACCAGCCTTCTGCCCCCACCTTCACTCAGGCACTTGGACATTCTCTGAAGCAGAACACGCAAGCAAGTTCAGGGAACCACACTCAGACTGCCACTTTCTAAAACAGGCTAAGGAACACAGTTACTTCAGTAAGAGCCTCAAATTTCCAAGCACTTACGGCTACTGCTGGGCAAGTGGCCATAAGGACAGCCGGTCTCCAAGAGCACTGTTGTCTTCTTTTCAGTCACTTCCACTTTGGAAGGCGACCTCGATGGTGAATCTTCACAGCAAAAGAGACACCGAGATACCAGTAAATGGGCACAAAGCTTACACTACAATGCTATCATACTGTACCTCCTACACACAACCCCAAAAAGCCTCAAGCAAGCATTTGGAGAGCCAGCAAGGCAGGTCTGTAAGGCTCTGTGGCAACAAAGCAGTAAGAAGCCTAATGGGAAAAAATCAGAACCACTGAATGGTTTGGGTTGGAACAGACCTTAAAGACCACTTAGTTCCAACCAGACTGCCATTAGACCAGGCTGCTCCAAGCACCATTCAGCCTGCTCTTGAACACTTCCACAGATGGGGCAGCTACAGCTTCCCTGGGCAACCTGTGCCAGAAACTCAGCACCCTCAGAGGGAAAAACTTCTTCCTAACGGCTAATATAAATCTACCCTCCTTCAGCTTAGAGCCATTCCCCCTTGCCTTATCACTACGTGCCCTTGTAAAAAAATCACTCTTCGGCCTTCTTGTAAGGCTCCTTTTAGGCACTGGAAGGCACTTGCTGTAATGTCTCCCCAAAGCCTTCTCTTCTTTGGCCTAAACAGCTCTAACTCTCTCAGCCTTTCTTCACAGGGAGGTAGGTGTTCCAGGTATGTGACCAACTTAGTGGTCCTCCTCTGGACTCACTCCAAGAGGCCCATGTCTTTCATGTGCTGGGGGACCACAAGGCCAGACACAGTACTCAAGGTGGAGTATCGCAAGAGCAGAGCAGAGAGGGAGAATCACCTCTCTTGACCTGCTGGCCACGCCTCTTTTGATGCAGCCCAGGACATATTTTGATGCAGCCAGGTTGCCTTTCTGGGCTGCAGTCCTGTGAAGCAGACGCACAGCAATACCTCATTCACATCATTTCCCAGCCCCACCTCTTGGAATATCCAGTACCACATTCACCAGGATGCCAGACCGCAACAAGCAACAACCCCTAGTAAGCCAGGTCAACATGCTTTTGGCTCCACAATCAGTATGTTCAGCATAACTTCTTTAGCAGTGAAGAAACTAGAGAAAGCATGGCTAAACACTTAGCCTGACATCGCACAGAGGTCATGTGGCAGCATATGCATTAGACCTCCTGCCACCAAAAGGGCGCTTGAAAGGTTCATCCTTCCCTCACCTCCCCCAGACACAGAACTGCAACTCTCTCCCCTAGGGCTACAAGAGTTTCCAGCCAGCCATGAAGATGCTAGGGGAACAGCATGGATGGCTGTGTTCTGACCCACACACCAAAAGCAATACGTAAAGCATGAGCCTGCAATAACCAGGTGTGATGGTTAAATGGTTTTGCTACTGCCTTCATGAGCAGGCATGGGAATATCGCAGCTAAGCCTGTGCTGCCGTAGTAGCCACCTGAACAATACACCTGCTGCTGTGCAGCCTCACCCAGTTTGCAGTCTGCCTTGGGCCGGGACTGAATTGTGGTGACAGTAGTCACAATGGTGCCATCAGGCATGATGGTCCGGTCCATCTCCACCTTCTTAGTGGGGGTGATGCTGGTTCGCAGAGATGTGGCATGCGGAGCATTCAAAGATGCAGAAGACTCCTGGAACAGCAGCTATAAACAGTAAAGCACTGATCAGAGAGGCACTCTTCTTCCCAGATGGAAAGGCAGGCATGCTTGGGCAACAAAAGCTACAGCTCTGGGCACCAAGGAGCCATCCCCAGTACAGTATCAGTTCAACAGTGGGAGGCTCAGGGACTGAGGGTCAGGTGACATCCACCTCTCCATGGCACAAGGGTCTGCCAGCCCTCTGTGCTAAGCTCAGGTCCAAACATGCATGTCTCCGGCTAGAGACTCACATTATGAACTCTTCCAGAGCATACATGCATGCAGAGCTTGTGGGGTCACAAGCTCACCTCCAATGTAATGGTAGCTTCAGCTGCCAGCGACTGTCCAGCTCCCGGGGCCAGTGAGCAGACCTGTCTCCCAGAGGGCTGCTTGCCCAAAGAATCTATCAAAAGTGTGGCATATGCCAGCAGCACATCTGCAAGACGGAAGAGCAAAAATGAAACACTTCATGTGACCTCAGCACCTCAGACAACTCCAAGGTAATCCCTGTTTTTGGAAAGCAGCACAATGGGCCAACACAGCAAATCACCACAACTCCACTAACTCCCAGGTTCAAGAGGGAGAAGGGGAAAGCAGTGCTCCTCTGCTCCTCTTTAACAATTCAGGAATCAACTTCCTTAAAAATGTGACCACTGTGTGGCCTCCATCAAAAATAGACGCTGTAGTTAGTCCCCGACTGAGTACAAAAACACAGTTAAGAGCCTTATGCAAAGCTCTCCTAATACAGGAGGCAAAATCCTGCATGCTTCTCCCTGCTTCAGAATGCAGACAGGCAGGCCACAGGAACCTCCCGATTCAAGGTCAGACCCAGACCGTTTTGGCAAGAAGAACAGAACGAGTGACTTCACAGAGTCACAGAAACTCACATAAAGCTAAATGTGAAAAATCCTTTGCACAAGTCATCACACGTTGTACCAACAGAGAACCAGCATGAGCTTAAAGCATAGTGAGTCCCTTAGGTATTTTTGCCTCCCAGTCTTAAAACCCATCTTATGGCTATTCGTACTCACTTCCCCCTCTGTCGCTGCTTCCCAGCACCTGTAGTTTCAGTTCTTTGCTTCTAGGTCCTAATTCCCTGTTGGAACCAAAGACAGGTTGGTGTTATGCAATCTTATTTTAAGTGGCCATGGACCAAACAACCTCATTCTTTATCTCCCCTCCCTCAAATCTCACATGCCTCATCACCCTCTCCAAAGTTTCAGTAGCGTGCACTACCGTGGAGGACATGACTAGAGCACCAAACTACACAAATGAGAACTCTGGTTTGTGTACCCTGCAGAACTGTGTAAGCTGACAGTGGAAGTTGAGAGGGCAATCCCTCTGGAAGGCTGTTTCTGCTATAGCCCTATTGCACCTGCTGCGCCTACAATCAGCATTTCTGCCCAACCAGTTAAAACACGGAGTGTCCAGAGAAGTGAGAAATATGTATGCAAGCTGGGGCCAAATGCTGGAATCAGCGGTCCAGCACAGGGGCAGCATAAACAGACGTTGCCTTGTGGCGCAGACTTCACCTCTGCACCGTGCACATCACTTACTGCAGCATGGTAATGATGCCCAGAGACCATGTCAGTCCACCTACACTGTGCCAGCCAGAAGGAAAGCAGACACTTACAGAAAGAACTCGTCATTCCACTCCATCTCTCCTGCAGCACCAAAACTGCTACCTATCATTGGCCTCGTCCACTTCTGCTGCGGGGGGCTGTCTAGCTCTGCCACGCAGCGTATCTCCCCAACTCCTGCAAGAGACACAGAGGGCACATGTGCACTCATCAACAAGAGGCAGTGGTTCATCACGCACACAAGGGGAGTCCCGTCTTTTCCATTCAAACCAACCCAAAACATCCACTCGCTCCAATCTCGCCACCTGCACACTTGCCCCTGTGGATTAGCAATGTTTTCACGCTTACCTCCCTTCCCCTGGCAGCCCAAGTTCAGCACTCGAAGATTCCGGAGCAACAGCTTAGAACCCAGAGGGGCTGCTGCTACTCTGGACGGGGACTCTCGAGTCACCTTATTGCTGGGTACCTGAGGAATGACGAGAGTGAGACCGACACCTTTATCGTTCCCTCGCCACCAGACAGCAACAAGACACATTGTCCTTGTATCTATTAAATAGCTCCCCACACCGACACAGGGAAATACCTGCAAAGCCATCAAGAGATGCTGCAGGTTTCCAAGGCTATTGACCTCCAGTGGGCCCTTGTGTTTTTTCAGATGGGAAGTTTAAGGCAGACAGAGAAGGAGACAGGCAAGAACAAGCTTGCTGGCTACCAGACAGTCAACTACATGGGCCATTACGTATCTGCAAAGGATGCCTGGGACAGAGCCTTGGGGTTCAAAGCAAGGGCGACGGCCAAAAGAGAGATGTACCTCAGGCAGTCCAGCTCCTCAAGTACATGACCAACTATCAGCATTCAAGAAAAAAAGAGTATTTAGGAAGGAGTTGCCCTTGGGAGCAATTTCTAATTATCCCTATGCACCATGTCACAGTACCCAAACTCCTATGACCAGGCCAGTGCAGGCCAGGATTTGGCTGTTGCCCAGAAGTAAAACTCAAGCCTTGGATTTCTGCCTGAGCTTCGGCCCTCAGAAGTGTCTTGGGGCCTGTATTTGAGGCACAAGAATGACACAAGAAGAGTGACTTACCGCACTGGCTCTAGCGGTACAGGCCAGCAAATTCATCACCATGGCTGGCTTCGTACTGACAATGGTATCCTCTATCAGATCCTTTATAGTGGACAGATCTGCTCTCCCTTCATCCTTCTCTCCATAAATCAAGGGAAAATGCAGGAACGTCATAAAAAGACGGACACATTTACAGCTCCATCTGCCTCTCAAGCCTCTAATATGCTATACAGTCATTCTCCCAGTAATAACCTCCCAAATACTCTTCCCATATTCCAGCTCGCCCTCCTCAGAGCTTAAAGCTTCTGTGTAGCAGCTGCAGGCAAACGCAAGCTTTCTAAATGAGACAAATTAAACCTCTACTTCTTATCTCTCATTACTTCTTACACTGGCTTATCTGGTGTAAATTTTGACAATACAGATTTTATAGCTTGTCATATGCTCACCACCTCAGGAGGTGGTGCAACCACTCTTTTGGGAAAATAGCCGAATTCCTATAACTACTCAGGATAAAGTTAAGAAAGGTAACAACAAATCAACCAACCCATTTGGATTATGGAAGTGCAAGCACACCCACATTCTGTTTATTAAACTGCTAACCCAGGGATTCCCCCCCAAATTAATCTCTTAAATCTTAATGAATCCCTCCAAAAAAACCAACCAAACTTAACCAACACAACAACAAACACCACACAAAGAAAGCGGCAACCCAGCTTATTTTGCAAGCTCTACCTCTGACAACAGCAAAAGGAACCTATATAGACTGAAAGCCTTCAACAGATACTGGTGCCACTTCAGCCCTCTTGAGGATGCTGCTTTGACACAGTTGAGTTAGTACCGATTACAGGATGAAAGAATCCCCTCCACTGCCCTAAAGGGCCATGGCAGTGAGTTGCCAACCCTTCTCCTCCGCAGCAGCCTTCCTTCTAGCTGTTTCTGCTCCTTCCTCCCTTCCCCCCCTCACAGTCAGCCTCTCATTGTTAGTCACTCACCTCAGGAAGCCCAAGTCGTGGAAGAACAAAAAGGTCCAAGTCTGGTCTGTCTTTGAATGTCCATGACACCAGGAGACCCTCATTCTGTATCTCCTCCAAGTGGATCTCCACCTGGCCCAGAACAAATATCCATAGTCAGAAACAGTTTCTGCTTACATTAGGTGATTTTTGCCCCATTCCAAATTCAGCAATTGAAAGGCCCTCACATCATTTTCACAATGGTAAAAAACAGAACATAAAACCGCAAGTGCTCCCAGGACTACAGGATGAAGCAGCTGCAGAAGCTCCATACCAAGATCTGGCTTCCTTCACTGCGGTTGGATGCCCAGGCACCACCAGAGGGAAAAATGATCCGTTTTTTCTTTTACTGAAGAAAAAGCCTGGAGAGTATAATCCAAAAGTGGCCAACTGGGCACCAATACATAGGATATTTACTGAGTTACATTACTTAGGCATTGCCAAATGTAAGCACAACCATTTATAAGGTAACAATGCATCTCTAGGAGATGATCCTCAGGTTGAACACCTACCTAGATCACCAATAGTCTACAACAACAAACCGAACTATACACCATCCTGTAGTTTAGCTGAAGTTAAAAAGTTGCACACCCATGTACCCATAAAAGCATCATCAATGTGACAGACAGAGGCAGAACCACACAGGAATGGAACTGAACTCACCTGAGCGCTCTAGTAAAAATTAGGTAATGAAATTCAATATACTTCTCAATTGCCAGGTTGACATTTACTGACAACAGAGAAGGTCATCGGACAAAAGCAACAGATATGAGACACAGTGGCCATGTAAGTAACCAACAAGAGGTGTGCAGAATAGACAGGCCACAGTTGGGAACACAGTACTTAAAGTATTCCAAAACACAGGTAGGCATGTGGTAATCTAACCTGCATTTCATAAAGCAGCAGCAGCAAGACCTCAATTAGAATACTACATGCAACTCCTTACACAAACAATCAACCCAAAACTTCACCAGGTGCAGACAAGGAGACCTAGAAAATGCCAGTGAGTAGGGGAGCAATTGGATGAGATGTGAAAAATGGGACCTTTCAGAAATGAAAAGCAACTGCCGTTGCTGCCCATAACCAGACTGGCAGCAGGCACACTACATGCTAAAGAGAGAGGAGCTCTCTGGAGCTCTGGATCTCTGGAGGAGACAACCACAGAAAAGAGGTACAAAATCAAACTGGAATGACCTGATAAAAGTAGGCTGAAAATTGTAATAAAGCTTCTAAGAGCAAAAGGGTTCCAGAGCAAGCTTCAAACTGTCTGCAACAGCATGGGATTGGCTTCTACTACCACTGAGTTACTTCTAATTTTGCCATGTTTTTTTTTTTTTTTTCTTTTTTTTTTTTTTTTGGTGCACATATTAACACACTGCCTCCAAGCAAGATACTACCTCCAGCGTCCTTCATCATGATGGAAACAAAACTACAAAACTGCATTCAAAAGAATCAAATCCAGCCAAAAAGTAACTATGGAGTTACAACCCATTATGATTTCAGAGATTCTTTGCTGGAATAAGCATCTCCAATATCCAACAAACAGAAAAAGCTGCATCATGCTCTTGTGAACGTAATGAGGGGAACTGACAAGCAAACTACTCCTCACCATAGATTTCTTTTTCTCACCCACTACCAGGACACCATATTTTTACATATCCATAGGACATACCTTCCCCCTTCCAAAATGCCATGAGGGAATGAATTCTCTGAACTTCTCACTTCTAAAATACCCACTTGAAAGTAGTGTATAGAATGCTGCCATGTCTCAAAGCTCTCTGGAATTTCTTACAGCTATGTTTTATAGCCAAAATCTGCAGATGAAGACTCAGAAAACAAGACTCAGCATGCAGATGGGGAATATTTGCTACCTCACCAAATGTCAGTGACAGCACACTGCTTCTTCTAGCCCAACCAGGCCTTTATTTGCACTGAATTAGGTCCTCCTTCTTCGGTCAATGTGGGACTAGATGGAGGAGTCAGGTCGATGTTTAACTTCTTGCAATCCTTACCTGAGCCTGCAGCACAGCCAAAGTGACATGATACGTGTCCACAGAAACAGCAACTGGTGATTGCTGAGCAACAGAGACAGGGAATTTCACAGCTTCAGCTGACAGATGGCAGCACAGCACCTAAAAAGAAAAGGAGAAGATGAGTTTATATCCTGGCATGAGGCAGCTGTGTTATTCTCGCCAAGTTCCACACTGCAAACCTGCCACTTCAGACCCTGTGCTGTGAAAAGAGCTCTCTTCTGCTCTCCACAGTAGAAACCTGATATTTGGGTTCAGCCTTCATACACCCCAGCTCCACCAACACATCTTCCCTCGCAGAGCTCACCAATGCACAGTTCCAGAGCCTCCAAACAGCAGACAGGTCTCCAAACTCCTCCAAAGAGACCTCACCCAAAACCTCCCTGGTTCCACCATCTCCATCAGAAAGGCCTCAGCAGTCTCTGTAGAACACACCATCGCACCAAACTGTACAGCTCAGAACAGCAAAGCCTTACCATGCTGTGGTCCGACTGTCCCTTGCATGTCACACAACTTATATTTGCAGCTTGTGGTAACTGAGGACCCTCTTCAAATGTGATCTGCACTGAACTCTGCAAAGAAGAAACTCTGTTAGTTCCCGGTAGTTAGAGCCACCCCATTAGTTCCAAGGAGGATGAATGATGTGGGGTTCCAGAGACACTCCAGACTGTTTTCACAAATCCAGGCAGCACTAAGAACTATCACATACTCTAATTCTACCCACCTCAGCTTGTTTATACAGCGAAAGGAAACAAGGTGTCCAGTTAAAGCTTGAATTCACAGACATACGCACCTCCAGGAAAGTCCAAATCTCATCCAGAATCTCACATACCACAACGTCCTCCAGAAAACTCCCAGACCCTGCTTCAGAGTACAGCTTTTAGACCCAGCAACTCACTGATGCAATGCCGCTTTCTGAGCAGACATGCTCCAGACAAGGAGCAGCTGCAGCAGAAACTGAAGTGTGGCCTTCCAGGGGCCTCCATGCCAATTCAGCCACTGGCTAACCTTCCCTTTACAGGAGTCCTAAATTCTGGAATTTATACATTCTGGGGTTATTTTGCGATAGTCTGAGTAATTCAAGACGGCGTATCACATATGGGAAACTAGTGATACCTTGACACGATGTCTATTGCATTGTGATAAGAGGGGCAAAGAAGCAGAGGGTGAGTTTCTACAGGGGAAGTGGGGGAGCACTAAGTCCAGTGGGAGAAGGCACTTCACACTGAATCCAGCCTAGAATTTGTCACTTTGTCAAAAACCCTGATACTTTTCCTGTCTTGCTGGAAAACTCAAACTCAAGTCTGCATCATGTTCTTCAAGACTTTAACTGCTTTTTCTTCAAATATGTCAGCTTCCTGCTAATCTTTTCTGGCTCTTGATTTCCCTATACAACTTAACAGAAAGGCAACCCCTTCCCACTCATACGACAGAAAAAAATAAAAATTAAAAAAAAAAAAATTGCAATAGACTTTGGACCACAGTTTCTGTGGGCATTAAGTCCCTGCCTGTGTTGCAGGCAACACAAACTATAATGGAATTATTTCCATATGGAATCATCAAGTCATACTCTCCTTCGTGAACTTCAAAACTACAGATGGAAATACTGGGAGATTAAAGAAAATAAATACCAGAAAATTTCGGAGAGATTGCTGTGGAAACATCAGAGTGACTTCAGTATCGCCTCAACCCGCACGGTTACCCAGAGCGCCCTTTCCGCGCTCGCACACCGCAGCGTGCTCCCACGCAGGCCGAACGGAGCCGTCCGCAAGGCGCCGAAGCGCTCCTCCGGCCGGAGCGCCATGCGGAGAAGGGCCGCCAACAAAGAGCAGGCGAGTCGCCTGCCTCCCCTCGCCGCCGCTCCCCGCGCTCCCCGGCTCGTGCCCTGCCGTACCCCGTGCCGGCGCGCCTGGCTGTTGAGAGCTCGCACCCAAGCTCGCTGCCACTGCTCCCGTAGGGACCTGAGGGCGAGAAGGGCCGCGAGCAGTGCCCGGGCCCCGGCCTCCTCCCCCGCCGCTCCCCGGCGCCGTAGTGCTCGCAGGGCCGTGGACCGCCAGTACTGCAGCAGCCAGGCCGCCACGGTGAGCAGCGAGGCGGCGAAGAGCAGCACCAGCGCGGCCCAGCCCAGGTCCGGCCCCATGGCACAGAGTGCGGCGCTCACGGCGGCGCGGCGGGCATGGCGGGCGGGCCGCGGCGCTGCCCCGCGCGCGGCACCGGGCGCACGTGGCCCCGCCGCAGCCCCGCACGCGCACCCGCCGCCGCGGCTTCCCTTCCGGCGCGGCGCTGCGCGCGCCCCCCGCGGCCCGACGGCGCCGCCCCCTCCCGCTGCTCCGCCCCTGCGGGCGGGCCGTGGCACCCGGTCCGAACGGCCGGGAAACCTCCCGGCTGCTGACGCGAGCCTTCTCTTCTGGGGGACTGAGATAACAGCACAGCAGCGATCTGAAAGCTCAGGTCCCCACCGGCTTTCCGAGCTTCGATTAACGACGCTTTTGTCCTTCACGTCTCGTTCTTTTCTGCTGAGAGTCACTACTTCGTTCCCACCAGGCACGCATGACACAGCAGCAAGGAGGAACCTTTCCGTTTGTCTGCTCCCGATTGTGCCACTCTCATCGTGGAGGACAAGTAACACGAGTTTTGATCACCTCCCGACAGTCAAAACTCAAAGTAGCAGCGGCCTCTGGCCACACATGCTCCCCTGCACCTCTGTGCTGTGCTTTCCTCCCCGGCGGGACCATGTGCCCGCCTCAAAGTTGATTTAAAGTTTACAAAATCACTTTTGCATATGTGCAACAGACACCAGAGCAAAAGTGGCCTCTCAACACAGCAGCAGCTCCTTAGGTGGCCATAAAACCAACAGAAAAATCAGATAAAGCCATCAGAAACCATTTCAGGTTGCCATACAGGTGCAGGGCACGCAGAAGTTCTTGTTGCTGCTACCGGACTTTCTGCTGCGTCTCCCCCTCTGCTCATCGACTCACATCTGAATGAACAGAACAGTGAATGAACATTGAGCCTATCCTGCCTTCTCCTCCCCACCCCCCAAAAATGCACCGAGGACCCAACAGCAGTTACAGATTCCCTGACAGCAAACAATCTCCAGTAAGGTATTTTACTAAATTTTCCCGACATCTGAGGAAACACGTGGGGAAACGAAACCGACGGCCTCTCACTTTTCCGCTCTCGCGCATTCTGCAGCCCGGTAACACGGCTCGCCGCCCCGCCGGCCGGCGGTGACTGCGCGGGCCAGGGCCAGCCCGCAGCCGCCCGCAGGTGGCTCCCCAGACCCGAGCAGAAGGGGGCTCCGGCCGGGAGGCGGCGGAGCCGCCGCTCGTTCCGCGCTACCGTGCTCCCGGCGCCCGCCCTCCGCAAGGGCTCACCCGCGCCCCGCATGGCAGGAAGTTACGTACCGTGAACCGGGCGGGGGGGCGAGGGGGTGCAAGGTGGCCATGGCTGTTGCGGGCATTGCGGGGCGGAGTCCGTGGCTGGGGCGTCCCCGGGTGAGTGCTGCTCCCGGCGCAGTTTCGGAGGAACCCCGCGGAGGAGAAGCACCGCGAACCTTAGCATCGGGGACAGGCTCCTCCACACGCCCTCAGCGCGGCTGAAACCGCTACCGATCCCGGCCGGCAGGAAGTTCATGCCAGGGCCAAAAATGGCGCCCTCGCCGCCGCCAGGGCCTCGCGCATCCGGCGCCGCCCGCGTAGCGCCCGGCCGGGAAGGCGGAGGGCAGCGCCCCCGCGCGGCCTCGCTGCGCGCCCTTGGCAAGGGCAGCTCCCGCCGCGGCCATGGCGGCCTGGCCCGCCGTGCCCCTCCTCATCAACCTCGGCGGGTCGCTGCTGGGCTTCGCGGCCACGCTCACGCTGATTCCGGCCTTCAAGGACCACTTCCTCGCCGCGCGGCTCTTCGGCCAGGACCTCAACAAGACCTCAAGGCGGCCCGTGTGAGTAGCGCTGCCCCGCGGAGCTGCCCCGCGGGGCCGGCCCAGGCACGGCTGACTCCCCCCGCTCTACCTTCCAGCCCCGAAGCACAGGGCGTGATCAGCGGTGCCGTGTTCCTGATCATCCTCTTCTGCTTCATCCCCGTGCCCTTCCTGAGATGTTTTGTGGAGGAGCAGTGCGTGGCCTTTCCTCACGACGAGGTGAGGCTCGTCTAAATCCTGCAAGCGTGGCAGGCAGGGGCAGGGAGTGGCCACCGGTGACCGGGGTCCTGTTCTCTGTCCTGCAGTTCGTGGAGCTCATCGGTTCGCTCCTTGCCATCTGCTGCATGGTTTTCCTAGGCTTTGCAGATGATGTTCTGGACCTGCGCTGGCGCCACAAGTTGCTTCTTCCTACCATGGCTTCCCTCCCACTGCTCATGGTTTACTTCACCAACTTTGGGAACACGACCATTGTGGTGCCTAAGCCCTTCCGGGTGCTGCTGGGCATGCACTTGAATCTGGGTAAGTTATGAATCACTAGAACCTGTCATCCACGTGGCAAATAGTCAGTGGAATGGATCAGATGAAGCACTTCGTGCTGCAGAGGCAGCAGACTAAGGATTTGCTTAAGTAACCAGTAAGAGAGTGGCACTCGACCCACTAAACATTTAGCTGGAAAGAACATCCGGAAACCCAGCACATGTTCAGCTGCACATAGACAGACACCGATCATTTTCACACGATCCTGGCAATACAGGTGAGTACTGCGGCATACAGCACATGGCTGATAACACCAGGATGTTAGAAAGACAGAAACAGCAGTACAGCTGGCCACCACCAATGTCACAGCAGTTTGCCACAGTTCATGTAGACATGACAGCCAGCTCATAAGAGAGTAAGCAACCTTATCTGTAAGCTACCACTATCAAAACTCACTGAGATTGTTAGGTTGTTGTATAAAGCAAGAAGTGAGAGCTTCAGTGACTTGGTCTAGGGCCTGCTTTGCCTCCAAATACTGAAGCCTTCGGCTCGCTCTGATCTGCAGGTATCCTCTACTACGTGTACATGGGTATGCTAGCAGTGTTCTGCACTAATGCCATCAACATTCTCGCCGGAATTAATGGAATTGAAGCAGGACAGTCGCTGGTGATAGCTGCTTCCATTATCATATTCAATATTGTAGAGCTAAACGGTAAGGAAAATAACAAACATTTGTGGGCACAAAAAGCAAAGGGAGATTGAATTCTAGATTTCAATAGCTGGTATTACTAAAAGTGAACCAGTCTTGTCTTATCACAAACACATGTTTTTCTTTTTTCCATAGGGGATTATCGAGATGACCATATTTTTTCTCTCTACTTTATGATTCCCTTTTTTTTTACCACGCTGGGCCTATTTTACCACAACTGGTAAGAGGATAGACATTCGGAATTTGTTTGAAAGCATCCTTTCCCTCTAGTTTCTCCCTTTTTGAACCAACAAAACCACTTAACCACGTGCAGGTGTGGAACACTGGAGTGTAGAGAGAGAGGCTTCTTGCCGAAACCAACACCACAAAGCATGGATGGAGTAGTAGCTTTTCTTTGTATTAGAACAGTCACACCAGCTCACCCAAACACGCATAATACACTCTTCTCTGCCTCACTGGCTGTCTTTTCATACAAAGTTCTCTGCAAGTCAAGTGGTGGGTCCCAGTCGTGCAATTCTTAGCATAAATACCTACAGTTGTTTTTACTGTGTAGATCTGCTGCAGATCCCCATGGGCCCCTGACCTGCAATGTGGGCATACTTTCAGTGGTTATAAATAGTCATTTTTGTGGCAATAGCAGTCATGTCAGACCTTTGCTTTTCTGCTCCATGGATTGCAGGTACCCATCTCGAGTGTTTGTTGGGGATACCTTCTGCTACTTTGCTGGCATGACCTTTGCTGTGGTGGGGATCTTAGGACACTTCAGCAAAACAATGCTGCTTTTTTTCATCCCGCAAGTACTCAATTTCCTCTACTCATTGCCTCAACTCTTCCACATCATTCCGTGTCCCCGTCACCGGTTACCGAGGTAATGTACCAAGTGACCTATAGTGGTACTACAGGTTGTGTCTTTTACCTCCAACACCAGCTGAGAAAGGTGGTGGAAGGTGCTCTTTTTAAAAGCCATCAAAGTATGTTTTCTCTTTAAAAGACAGCAGCTCACTCTGCCAGCTACAGTCAGATCATACAGTAGAGGTCTCTCAAGGAAGTGCACATTTCTGACCAGCCCACCCCTCAGATCATTTTTAACAAGGTTAGACCATGATGATTCTAACCTACAAGATCAAGAGAAATTGACACCGGCTGCTTTTAATGCTGTGGCAATGGGATCTGCTAAGCTTTCATAGTAGCAAGTATTCTGTAGCGCTATGCCACATCAGCAGTTCTATCTGCAGATATTAGAGTCTTCTGTTTTATTCTTTAAACTACATAACATATATTGGGGGTGCAATGGGAAGGAGTCTTCTTTGCCCTACTTGAGGGGCTAGATACCAGCAGCTGTTTTTTAAGTGCATTAAGGTTATTCCTGTTTCTTCCACCACTGGGTTTCTTTCTCAGCTATGGGTCTAATTTTGCTTACAAACTGAACTCTTATCTCCTTGTTATATCTGGACTAAATTTTAAATGTTTCTTTTAGGCTTAATCCTAGTACAGGGAAGTTGGAGATGAGCTACTCCAAATTCAAAACTAAGAACCTCTCTGTCCTGGGAACAAGCATTCTGAAGGTAATTTGTGGAAATTACAGATGCATTTTGAGGCAGTCATCAACTGCAAGAGAAACAGAGCGGGAGGAAATGCAGAACTTTGGGGTTCAGTAGTTACTGCCTGGCTCACATCTAGAAGAAAGTCTCTTACCATCTCTCACAGTCACTCAGTTGTGTTAAAAATCAGTCTTTCAGAATAACCACACATAGAAATGCCCCAGGACCATCATATGTCTGTCCTGTCTTTCAGTTAGAGCACAACCAGGATTTCAGGGCTGGTGCAGCAAAAGGGCTCTTGAGCAAGACTAGCCAGTGAACACCAAAAATACCTGGTGAAATAGCGTGCAATATTTCTTTCCTCAGGTAGTCAAGATCTTGCACATAGTGGATGTGAGGAGTGGAACAGATGAAAATGGCGAATACACCGAATGCAGTAATATGACACTTATTAATTTTGTCATAAAGCTGATCGGACCCACCCACGAGCGAAATCTCACTCTCCTGTTGCTACTCATTCAGGTCAGACAAAGGGTTCCTCCAGTAGAAAGATCTACTCCACAATAGAAACAGATCCAAGTCAGTCTTGAGAGTTTTAAGGGGAAAAGTAAAATATTGCACTCTTCACACAAGGTGCAGTTGAGCTGTGGAGCTTGAGGGGAGAATGAGAGGCTTACATACCTCAAGGAGGAAAGAAATCCACACACACCTCCCTGTTCACTGAGAGCTTATAAAAAAAAGTCAGAAGGTTAGCTTAAGAAGATTCCCAAGGCACGAGTCATTGGTTCCAAGAAAAACATGAGCACAGGAGAATGCCTTGTCACTCTTACTCAAGACAGCCTTTTAGTATGTTTCCTATTTTTCAAATATATAATATATATAATACCAAATAACAGTCTCAGAGTTGTCACCAGCAAGTGGACTTCTGTAAGCATGGCATGCGGCTCAGCAGTTTCTCAGTCTGAGGGGCATGCGGGAGCATTTGGAAGCCACTTGGAGCATAAGGATATGCTTCACAGATCTTGCCACTGCCACCATTCAGCATGTGAATTTTTGAGCATAGTGTAGTAAAAACATCACTTTTAGAAAGGCCTGCATTGGTTAACTGCCCACAATAAAATCCTTCTTTTCATCTTCAGATTTAGGATAAGGTATTCTTACTAGGAAAGAAACACTTAGCCAATTTCCGATTTGAGAGGAAGAACTTGCAACGAAAGCCTGTTGAGGGCTCAGGCAGATGACATCGGGGATGGGAGAAGACAGGAAGTACATAGCAGTTACCCAGTCACAGCAGAGAAGTCCAGACAGCACCTTATTGTAAGGATGCTGAATTTCAGCTTTGACATAAGGTATTTTCTAATACAAACCATGGGGTTTATGTTACAATATAGGCTCCTTAAGGGGGAAGGAGTTACTCCAAACTCTTACCTCGTCCACGTGTTCTTAGAATGTGATTGTGTGCAGGAACATGGAGAAATCTCTCACTGATATCTAAAATCATCAGAGAAAGAAACAATGTCTTTGGTTGGGCTGCCATTTATCTTCCTATACCTAAAAGAAGTAGCTTTTTAGTTGCTCTTTTATGAAACAAGGCATGCTGGAAAGCTTAGCAAATCCATTTGGAAAAGAGGAATCTGACAGCCTGTAAACCATTTGACAGTATAATGTTTCTGTTATGTGTCTGATTTTTACCTAGGTCCTTGGAAGCACGATTGCATTTTCGATCCGGTACCAACTAGTGCGCTTGTTTTATGATGTCTGACTGGACTGTCGGGAGCAAGGGAAAGAGTTCTACCTGCCAGTCCATCTTCTCCAGTTGCTTGACCAAATGATTCGACTGATGTTGCTCCTGCCTTCTGGGAACCTCAGAATACCTGTCAAAATGCAAGCAACTGCTTTGCATGGGCTAGTTTTGAACCAGGATGTTCTTTGTGCACCAAAGGCTTTTGTCCAATTCTGTGACAGAAAAGATTCACTGCTACTTGGACATCGGTGTTACTAAGAATACATTTTAGAGGGGAAGCAAATGACAGCACTTAGGGAAAGTGGGAAAGACGGAATCTCTATACATCTAGCAAAGTCATTACTGTTCACCAAGAGAGAAAACAGCAGCTTTAATTTCTGTGAGCAAAATAAGTAAACCAGATTCCGTTCCTGGCTTCTCAATCCTGTTTTTGGTCCATGGACATAGAATGACATGTTATAACCCATACTCAAAACTCAGAGTGCTCCAAGAATAAAACAATTCATGGTACCCTTTCCCCTGCAGTGCTTTGCCTTGACAATATTGACAGGCAGTGAAGCTAGGTTATATCCTATATCCTATAACTAGGTTATGTCTGTAGCTTTCTACCCTCTTAGGCAGCTTATCATTTCTGCAGTGGACTCCCTACTTCATTATGGCTACTGGGAATGTTCCTGCTGATGAGCTTTTAATTCTGAATACCTTTATATTCTGCCTTCCTCCCTGGAAGAGGACATGTTAGCAGAGTGAGGATCACCATATCTTTGTCTTAACACGGAATCAATAGATCCTTTTATTAATGCAGAACTAAGGCCCTGATTGGCTGACTGCCAACCCCTTTTCCTCTAATACAAATAGTTATTTATAGAGCAGTATTTAGCACCATAGTTCAACACAGAATTGCTACTCACCTGACATAAAAACATAGAACAGCCATTGGGGTACCAGGTTATAGTCTTTGCACCTCCCAACACCCAAGTTCAGCTAGTAACAAGGCTCGGAGTGCATTACCAGAAGGCAAAAATGCCTGTGTCCAGCAGCACTGATCAACACAGAAAACACACAGCACTCATGTATGAATGGTACGAGTGGCTGAATCCTCTTCCTTCCCTCCAGCAGGTCAGTTTGTAAGTCTACTAGTACAGTGTATTCATTACCACATCCACAGAGACATTATGAAATCATTCAGTACCTGGCCTTAAACAGTCTGTCCAGTAACCAGCTGCTAGATTTCCTGGTATCAAGGCATATGAACAGAGAAATCTCTCCACTAGCTGACCTAGGAATGTGGCCTTCCAATAGGTACTTCTAGGGCAGCCACCCCGTTTTCCTCAGGAAGCTGGCTTACCTCCAGTAAGCATCCTGCTGCACCTTATCTCCCGTATCTGGTCCTGGGTTCCAAAGCCCGTCTGGCTCCTTCGCTAGAGATGACTCACACTTGCATTCCACCTAGCCCTGGCCCCTCCCTGCATGTGCTGAAGTCTTCCCATTTTCTGGAACCACTGGCTGCTCTGATTTGTGTCCTAATCCCAGTTGCTGGCAACTGGACCTCCAGAGGCACACAGCATAGACAGTCTGCTCACTCTGGGGGAAAAAAACATACAAGTTGGGTTAATTAAGACAGCATAGACTGCAGAGATAATTCTTACTGATCAGCAACATTTTAAAACATTACCACTTTCTTCACTTTTATTTTTCCTTAATGTTCCCATGGGTTTTTTTCTCCTAGTCCACTTTGACTCCTCACTCTCCTTTGGTGCTTCTCTTAATATAGCCGTGTTATAAACCCATGATATATCTCACACAGGATCTCATGGTAGGTTTTTTCATATCCCTAACTGCTCTTCCCCCCATGTGCCACCCTAAGGTAAATGCCCTACAGACAGGGATACCTCTCAGTCTGTAGGCATCCCGGGAGCCCCTCTACCTCGCTCTGGGTGGAAGCCAGATGCAGGGACTGTCTCCAGCCCTCATAAAGGACGGTGCGCCCGGAGGGCGGCCCGAGAGGCGCTGAGGGCCGGCGGCAGCGCGCATGCTCGCTGAGGGCCGGCGGCAGCGCCCCAGCGAGCGCTCGGTGTGGTTTAAATTTGGCGCCTCGCTCGCTGATTGGCCGGACCCCGCGGCCAACACATTCAGAGCAAGCGCGTTGGTATCACACAAGCGACCAGTCAGCAAAAAGCTTCTTCCGGCAAACGTACCAATAGCTAGAGGCGGCGGCGCTGTCCAATGAGCTGGCCCCTACTTGGCGGGAGGTTATAAAAATCCCGGCCGCAGCCTCCCGGGCGCATCGGTTCAGCAGCGCAGCGAGCGTCATGTCCGGCCGTGGCAAGAGCGGCGGTAAAGGCCGCGCTAAGGCCAAGTCTCGCTCGTCCCGGGCCGGGCTGCAGTTCCCGGTAGGGCGCGTCCACCGACTGCTGCGGCGCGGGCACTACGCGGAGCGGGTGGGGGCGGGTGCGCCCGTGTACCTGGCGGCCGTGCTCGAGTACCTGACCGCCGAGATCCTGGAGCTGGCGGGCAACGCGGCTCGCGACAACAAGAAGACGCGCATCATCCCCCGTCACCTGCAGCTGGCGGTGCGCAACGACGAGGAGCTCAACAAGTTGTTAGGCGGCGTTACCATCGCGCAGGGCGGCGTCCTGCCCAACATCCAGGCTGTGCTGCTGCCCAAGAAGACCGGCAAGAAGGGCAGCAGGCAGCAGTCGCAGGAGTACTAGGCCGGCCGGCCCTCCCGGCACAACTCAAAGGCCCTTTTCAGGGCCACCTCATTGCTCACTGGGAGAGCTGCGATCCGCGGAGGGCAGGGCGCGAGAGGCGTGGCCGGCCGCGGCTGCGGGGAGCTGGGCCGGGGGTAGCGGCAGTAAGCGGCCCGGGGCCAGTCAGACACTGAGCCTGAGAGCTGCTCAGTAAGGAGCCGTTATTTTCACTCATTCCTACCTACCTCTGGGAGATTCAGTGGACGTTGCCTAGAAAATAAATATTTACAAAACAGGAGCCCAGTACGGTGCTGTTACAGTATTTCTTCAAGGCACTGTAACAATAAAATCCTGCTCAGAGGATGCTGACCTAGTACCAAGTGCAGGAAGCCAGTGTCTGGAATCTGGGCTTCTGCTTCAGCTCCCCCTTCATAGGCAAGTCTAGCTAACTGGCTCTCATGACCTTTTTGGACAAACATACAAAGGAAACCAAAATGGCTGTCTGCTTCCTCATTTAATACTAGCCAATCTAGCTAGTCTAATATATATGTGTATGTATGTATTGTATCAATCTAATACTACCCAATTGGCTAGTATAATGGTGAACTTAATTAGCCTTCGCTAAGACCAAGGGTGAATGTAGCATCTCTGCTACTTTACTATAAGGAACATGCTATCAGGAACCTAATGGGAACCTTTGGTGATCCAGTGAGTGAAAAGGCCCAGATAATGACTCCCGAAAGCACTTAGCACAGTATGGCATTTTAGTACCAGCACAGTTGTGTATCCAGTTATAACGCAACGGGCACTGCTCCTAAATGGATTTAAACACTTAAAGGCTTTTATTTTATTTTTAAATTTTTCTTGCAGTTCTCTAGCTACAAAAGTTGTTGACAATACTTCATAAAGACACTTAACAATTTAGAGAAATGTGTGGAGGAATGAAAACTCTGAAGAGCAGAAACTACTTCAGTTAGTTAGTTTCATATTTCAGGTTTTTTGCACCCAAATGTCAGGTAAGACTGGTGTGAATGTTGAAATAAATCCCTCCAGAGGATCATGATGCAGCTGCACAGACTTGTACCTAGAATTGTAGCACTCCTGCTGGCCACACCCCAGGTTCAGCGGGCATCATTGAGCTGCCTTGCCACGCTAAGGATATGCTTTGCTCCCTTGCTCAGAAGTAAACTAGCTAGTTCAACACCCAGGTTCTCTGCAGCTTCCTGGGCCTGACCAGGAACATTCTTGGCTGTGATGCCAACATGCTGCACGTCATCATTCGGTCCATCTTCATTCTGCAAATATAAACACCTCAAAGTAAGGCAGCAGGAAAACAGTAGGCAAGGAATTACAAGGCTCATGAAACACAGCAAAACCTAGTCTGAAGAACCTCAAAAACAGTGTGCTGTTACAGCTGACAAGAAAACAGACCAAATATAATCAATTTCTAAAGGCTTGGTTTTTGTCATTTAGCTTCAAGTTTGAATTTCGAAGGCACCATGATTCCCATACCTGATGGGGATAACTAACACCGGTCTGCATGGTCTCCTTCAGGCTATCAGATCCATCCAAGCTGTAGACTGCTCCTGTCAAATACAACTTAGAAAATACACAGAATGGATTATTACCACATTAACAAACAAGCAGCCAACTACCCTCTCTTTAAAAAAACCACCCAATATACAAAGCTAAGTTTGTTGGGAAGGGCTTTTGTCATGCAGTGGGATCAGCACGCATAGTGGTACAATACAAGTATAAGAAAGGTACTTCCTGTTAGGGAAGATATGACTTCTCAAGGAAAATGCCGAAGTTCTTTTCTAATTTCCCACCTCCATAATCACATTCCACTGTCCAAAAACAGGTTTGGTAGGGTCAAAAGCAATACTTTCAGACCTCAGGACAGCATGAAATAAGCAGCAGGGGTGGAGAGGGGAATCTGGTAAATATTATAAGGGAATTTTCTGAAAGACAGCTTCAGTAGCTTGACCCAGTCTCGCACTCCTGCTTTGGACCCAAACACAGAAGGGTCAAGTCAGGAGACTATCTGCCCTAACTGGTTATAAAGATACCTGCTGAAATTAGCTTCAGGAAAAGATATGGAAACATGCACACACTTGGAAAAGGTTTTCAGAAATAATCAATTAAAAATACAAAGTACTCCTCACCTGGCCATCCTTCAGCAGGGTGTTGACAGCAACAGGGACGCTACATCCACCCTCCTAAAACACAAAGCAGCTGACACTGAGGCTCCCACCCAACAAATTGAAAGCAGAGGCCTCTGAAAAGTTTAGGCGGCACACAACACTGCCCATCACTCTTCTGGCCCTTTTTGATTCAGATGTACTCTCCTTTGCAGTTTTAGAGAAGTGTTACAGATTTTCCATATTATGGCATCAAGTCAACTAGCAGATCAGTATTTACTGCTGCAGGCAGAGGAAGGGTGCCAGACCTACCAAACGCTTCATAAAGGCTCTTTCAGCAATGCAGCACAACACAGTGTCAGCATCATGCAGGGCAGATACCATATTCAGTATCTCTTGGTCTTTGGCACGAACTTCCACGGCTAAGGCACCCTAGAAGAAGAAACACACAACAAAATATAATTCTTCAACTTCATGCATCAGCATTGATCACGGAACAGAACTCAGAGGCTCACACCCTTTTCACTAAGGGAGCAATGTTCACAGAAATGAATTATGATACATTCCACTGCCTGCAGGGTTGTCCTACAATAGCTGCTGTAAACAGATCAGGACTTATTCAGGCAAGTGTTAAAGATCATGCTGCCACCTCAACCCTTCTAGAACTCTGCAGGTATTTGACAAATGCATGATCAAAATTACTTTTTCAGACTGAATGTGCAGATTTGTCACTTGCAATCACTAACTGGTGATCTGGCTTATCAAGTTTGATATTCGCTGCGTAAGCTCAGCTATGTAGGCAGAATGGACTGGAACAGTCTGCCCACCTAAAAACAGGAGCAGTAAGAATGTGCTCCAAGGCAGATGTTTCAGCTCCACCTTGCAGGAGTCAGGACACCATGCACAAAGGAGGGAGCATCACAGACTAAAGACATTGCGGTGGCTTTGCACAGTTATCCTGGTGCAGCGTAATACTGACCCTGCCAGAACCTGCCCCATATCTGCCATGTTGCCCCAGTGTAGCTGTGCATGGATGTACCTTCCCATTTACTGTTTTTTCTATTACTGATAGGAACCAGCCCCTAACACCTGGGTAGAAGAGCAAACTCCCAGATTCGTAACAAGTTGTGCCTCAAATAGTGTAACAGCCAACAAAAGAGATCAAAGTACTTTTCTGATAACGAAGACATGAGAAGTCTTCAGCACAGTTAACTACTCAGATATATCATACTGCTGCTGGCTTTCAGTGTCCTTTAAGGAACAAAAGTTGTGAAGTACCTGTCCGACAGCGTACAGACAATCTTCAGGGCTTAGGAGCTGGAAGAAAGTAAAATCAAGAGTTAACTCAAGCTGCACTGTTCACAATGTAGAAAACAAGAGCCAGATTCCTGTCTCTAATACTAAGTGATTTCATGTCAGACCAAAGACACTTCTCCCTTCTCATGCCTCAGTGTTTTTACCACAAAAGTGAGATAATGTCCTTTCCATCAACTGGAGTGTAACACTTTGTGACTTAGCTAATCACTAAAATCTCAGCCTTACACACTGCTGCATTGCTAGACATGAGTGCCATGAAGTGCTACGAGATAATCAGATTACAAACTGTTACTGAACCATGGAAAACCAAACATGAAAATTTTCTGTACGAAGAAAAAAAGCAACCAACCAAAAAACCCAACCACTCCTTCCAGAAGTGGCTCAAATCAAATCATGGCAATGGAGTCAGGAGCTTGCATGCTTATCTTGGATAGGAGAACCACAAGGTCTGAAAAGCAAACAGTTGGTATTTCAGCAGAGAATGGTATTTTCTGCTTTGCTGCGCCTCACCTGGCCAATGCGATTTTCCCAGCCCATTCTCTTCAGCCCAGCAGCAGCCAAGATGATGGCACTGAAATCTTCCTTCTCATCTAGCTTCTTTAAACGGGTATTTAGGTTTCCTCTCTGTAGAAGTGATTAAGCAAGAATAGAAACAGCAGGAAAACAGTCCTACAACCAGTTGAGTCTTTACAGACTGTACAGAATACAAGTGTTCAAATGAGAATGTCAGTACCATCCTGAAAGAAGTGTTAAATAAGCACAATTGTTTCTTTAAATAGAATCTTGCCATGTATTATGGAATATTAATTTAAGTGCTGAGTCTACAAAGATATGCACACCATTGAAGTACACTATTAGCACCCAATTCCTTCTGCACTGCAAAGAACTCTGCTCCTAGGACTGGAGTAACAATGCCTTTTCTCAGTAGGTCAGCCACCCACAATGGAATTAATGGTCCAAAGAGCATCCAGGGTTACTGGAAACCCAGCAACATTTGGTCACACACCCGTGACAAACACATCGGAGGCACCGTCATGCAGTTTTTCAAACACTGCAAAACATACAATTAATCTGTATGCTGAACACCCAGCTAGATCAAGGCTGGCTGCCTCTTCACAGCCTCATGAGAAAGCAGAGGACAGGATGGTTACAGTACTAACCCTCCCCCGCTCAGAACAGGGTAGTGGGGAACAGGCTTTGAGGAAGCAGCTTGTTCTTGTAGGTCAGGTGGCACAAATTAGCCTCAAATCTAGATTTTACACAAAGTTGTACTTTCCTCTCTGCAGCTTTACCCAGCTCCCACACTTGCCAGGAAAGGATACAATATCCCTGAATTCTAAATGAGGGAACTTCTTCTTGAGTTGAGCTGCTCTCCGAAGTGAACTGGTTCCAATCACACTGCAAGGAAAAGTATAATCACTGAAATCCAGAACACTTCTAACAGTTACCTCCAGCCACATATATGACAGAAATTTCAAGGAAACAAATAGTATTTTTTTTTTTTAGTTGAAATGAAGATCAGAAAAACAGTCAATGATTTGTATCTCCTTAGAAGAAAGAAAACCACTCTGTGAAGTTCAGCATAAAGCATGTCTGAAGCAACTCCCAAGGAGCCAATTTACAGAATATGCTTCTGCTAAACAGTCCCTAGCCACTGTCAAGGATTGATGAAACCTCATTGAAAGACAACATTTTTCAGAGAAAAAAGACTCCACTGCCCCAAAATGAACCAGACAAAGCCAGACAACTAAGTGATGAAATGACTAAAACAGAGGAACGTCATCAAAGACAGAAATGCAGAGTAAGCAGAGGACCTTTGAGTATATAACTAAAAACCACAGAAAACTGTAAGTCTGGGCATTTCCTTTCTCAAGCTATATGCTGTTCACTTCTTTTCATAGAATCATATTATATGTTGATTTGGAAGAGACCCATCAGGATCATTGAGTTCCAACTTCTAGCCCTCCGCAGGACACCCCAAGAATCCTACCATGTGCCTGAGAGGGCTGTCCAAATACTCTGTGAGCTCTGTCAGGCTTGGTGCTGTGACCACTTCCCTCAGGAGCTTGTTCCAGTGCTGAACCATTCTCTGGGTGATGAACCTTTTCTCGATATCCAACCTAAACCTCCCCTGATTCAGCTTCATGCAGTTTCCTTGAGTCCTGTCTCTGGTCATGAGACTGAAGAAATCAGTATGTGCCCTTCTGATTCCTCCTTTTGGTAACCTGAAACCTAAATTAGATGCAATTTTCCTGCTATCCAAATGCACAGAAACACAAGTCTTTGTGTCATGGCTAGTTTATTTCTTTCACTTTAATATTAAAAAAAAAATCTTTCTAATAGCTACCTTAATCTGAGTAATTTTACTCATCTGTCTCAGACAAGGGACTCCAATAATCTCTACAGAAAGACAGATCATTAAAAATGGAGAAACCACATGAATGTGATGCCAAAAACACAAGGAAGAAATCAGAATAGGCTGAGTGAGAACAGAAGCATAGTTCAGGTTCATGAAAGCCAAAATCCTGCACCACACACCCCATCTGCATTGTATGCTTTCCTGAGCAGTAGGCAGAACACCAAGCAGCAGGAATTCACTCTAGAGATCGTGGCAAGAAAGGTTCTAACTTGAGAAAGCATTGCCACTCAAGGGTGGCTTGAGAGATGAACCTCATTCCTGTGAGACAGCGTTACTTTTTCTAGCAAGAGTGGGTCCAGGTTAATGTATGTGGAATGCTCACAAAAGGCAGTGTAAAACCACTACAGGATAAAGCAATGAGGTGACCAACTTGCCAATGGCAAATATCAACCAACTGACCCCTTCTGTTTTTACACCTGTCTTCCCCTTCTTCTCCCACTCACCTCTTTTCAGGAAGGAGGCTCAGTGTTTTTCCACAGTTTTTGGGATGAAAGACAACAGCGTCAAGTGGGTTTTCCCTTCTGCAAAATAATGCAAGTGCAGAATGCCTGACACATCATTTAAGGCAAGGCTGGTAAGCTCAACAGTTCTGCTATCATTTCCTGGAAGAACTACCTCTGGCTCAAAAATACTTCGCCATCAAGATGGAGAGCAAGAATTTTCAGCACACCTGCCAGCTATGGAACACTAGGGCAGCCCTAGTGTTCCACTAGGGCTTCCACTGTTTTGAAGACCAATCACAGGAAACTCTGAACACCTAAAAGAACGTACACTGCCTTTGCTCTCCTTCACCAACACTATAAAATGCAAAGCTCTCAAGAGAATCAAGTCTCATGTCCACACTTACTTGCAGACAGCGCCAATTGTAAAGTCAGGAGGAAGAGAAGTTGGCAGGTCCTTCAGGGAATGAACCACAAGGTCAACCCTAAAAATTAGAGGATAGCAATTGGAGAACAGATGGTGTAGCTCATGTGGGGATGTACCAGAGGCCTGCAGGTCACCTACAGTGAAGTTTGAACCCACTCTGGGAATTAATCTGGGGAAGGGAGAAGAATTTCGGGATTCCATAGCCAGGATTACAATATAGTTTTTGTGATACTGCTAAAAGGCTACATCACCTTCCTCTGTCTCTCTTTTCCCCTTACTCGGTGACAAAAGACACTTATCAAACAATCAGATTGAATGAGGGGAAGATGCTGGAGATGTTCATACAGAGAGACTCACTGTACCAAAATGCACCAGTATGTAGGTTGGTATTGTATGTCAAACTTTAAGTAACAACAAGCCAAACTACAAGCTACCTGTTTTGCCACACAGGAACCAAGCAAACATTTGAGTCTCCAATAGCTTTTCACTAACTTCACTGAAAATGCTGTATGATGTAACTATGTGGCAGAGATGCAGAAGAATACCTTTTTTTTTAAACATACTTTAACTAAGACACTACTGAAACCCTCCTCAGAATATTGAAAAGAAAGAGAGATTAAATCACAACAAAAATTCCCCAACACCTCAAACCCACAAAACCAGCAGTAATCTCTGTCTGCTCAGGCATCTAAAGCAAGGTTTTTGTAGAGACAAATTGCACAGAACACAGCACAATTTGCCCATGTCAAATTCTCCTGCACATTTAGCTTGCATAAGTTAATAAATGATAACATTTAACAGGATGACAATAAATCTGTTTTGCAATACATTACCACCAATAAGAAAAGTGTTTTTTAAAAAATATATTCATAAGCAGTAATCATATGAGATCACAGCCTCCCTGTGTATTACAGCATGTAATACACAAGTAACAGAAGAAAATGTTACTGGGGCAGACCAAGTGATACAACAGCTCCACTTCAAAATACATGTCCTGAGCCCAAGGTAGAGAGAAAAAAGGGAAAAAAAAAAAAAAGACTGTGACTCATTAAAGGATTAATTTTTTTAGCCGGAAAGGTACCAGGACTGAAGGAAATTAGATCACCTATGCAGCAAGCCAAGTGTGTCCAAAGAGCACCAAATGCTAAGGAGAAAGACAAAAGTTCTTACTCATTTCTTTCAAGTGCATTTTCCAGCTCTTTGGTGAAGAGGCTCTTCTCTCCAATCTACACACAAAAGGAAAAAAATAAATCACAAAAGAAGCATGAGACAATAGAACATAAATACAATTAGTTCTTGAATAAAGGAAGATCCTTTACCTTGGAAAGTGCTGTGTCCAAGATCTTGTCCCCAGTTGTTGACATGGCCACTGCTCGGAGACAGTACAGGTAAAATGTGAGGTACTGGGCTTAGGCTGAAAATATCCATGCAAAATGCCACGAGCAGTCACACACTACTGTATGAACACTGACTCAAGCTCAATACAAGAGCAGCTCACTTCTAGAAATACATTGCACTCAAGACAAGTGAAATTGAGACGTCTTTCACTGTTCTCAAAAACAAAAGCAAAGTGAAAGAGGGCAGGTTTGTGGAAGAGTTGACCCAGAGGAAGCTGCCATGGTCTGTCTCTGGAGTGCCAGAGAACACATGTAAAGCAGTTCTCTTCAGTGCATGGCTGAACTCCTGTTATTCCTGTTGAAAGCTTTGAGCCCCAGACCAGAAAACACAACACCATATCCATCACTCAGCACTTAAATCATCAAGGGCTCATGAAATCCATCTATCTCCCCTACAAGAAACAAGCAGCAGCAGTTGCTCGGCCACACAACTGAACTGAATTCAGACGGCACTCTCAGATAAATTTAGACAGACCTCCTCCTCCTGACTCTACACACACCTCTTGCACACAAAGATAACCCACTGGCTCCTGCTCCTTGCCATCTACCCCAGAGCAACATCCAAAAAACAAAACTTACCAATCTCAAAGTGTAGGTCAGGGTATAGCTCACGGAGCATTGTAACTACACTATCGGTCTGAATCCGGGCCAGCTAAAAGGAAGCAGAAAACAAAGTCCTAAAGAAACAGCACAGTGCCCATATAGTAGCTAAGGAGGCTTTGCTATTCTCCCACAGCCAGGCACGCATGACCAGTACATTCGCTCTACACCAAAAGCATTAGAAATAGGTTGCCTCAAGTTAAATGACTCATAGGTACAAACTCCTTGAACTGTGTGAACACCTATCATGACCAGAACATTTCTATGAAGAACTTCTTTTATTGACTAAAGTCTTCCCATGTCCAGCATTACTGTGGTGCATGATGAAACACTGCAGTAAGTTTATCGAGTTAGGAAGAGTGATCACAACAGAAACCTACAGATCACGATTCTCATGCTTTTACTTCTTGGTTTCACCTATGTAGAACACAACTGCTGAATGATGATCGCTCAACAACAAGTGGGCGGAAAAGTAAGCAAAACCATTATTCTGTTGCTCAGCAATGAAAGAACAAGTCATATTGCACACTGAGCTAGGGTTAAAGTTAGGGTTAAAGCCTCCTGCTTTTTCAAAGCATATGAATTTTACCAATACTGCATTTGAAAGAAGCTGGTATGATTTCACTGAGCTGGTGGAAAAATCCACAGTTAGCATCAAATACAAGTTACTTATCTTCTATAAGAACAAAGACCTAGTTGGAGGTTCTACAAACACACACACAAAAGTAACAGCTTACATCATCACGTACATCAAGAAACAAATATCAAAGTAGTAAACTGCATGAAGAACATTCCATTGCATAAGAAAACCAGAAGTAAAATACAATCACTAGTGTATCATCTTTCTGCACATGCAAGCGGCAGCAGACTCAAGCAACTACAGATGAGGTTCAGCTTTTCTGCCACCGAAGGGCTCAAGACCCTTTGGTAATTAACGTCGTTCTAGGGACTGCAGTTCCCTACAAGTACAATGAATGTATGTAGCTGCCTCCCTTTGTAAAGTGCCCCAAAAGCCACACGTTATTACATGAAATAGCATATATGCACGGCTATCTCCCTTGTCCTGATGTCTACATAAAGTGCCTTTGTGACAGCACGGAATTCTTCCTAGAACGTGCTACCAAAAGGAACGAGATTATCTCAGTGCAAAGGCCTGAGGGTCGCTTATCTCTCTTTGCGAGGCTGCTCCTCCCTACTCTAGCCCGCTGGCGACAGATACCTTCTCTATCTGTGGCTGTGTCCCTTCCCTGGCCTTTGAGCGGGCTGCAAGCATCAGTTATTGGGGGTTTTCCGTACAAGAGCTCCACAGAATTTGCAAGTTGGTCGCAGCCAGACCGGGAGAGACCCGCACCGTGGCCCCCGGCCCCTGAACCGCGACAGCGCTACTAGAGCGGACCGTCCCCTGGGCTCCGAAGGAAGGGCTTTCCAAACTTCTTCCCGGAATTCCACAGCAGGAGTCGAAAGGGGAACTCAGGAAGCTCAGGCCGCTCCTCAGCCCCGAGAAGCAAGCAGACCCTGCGCTGCCCCGGGACGAGCCGGGTGCCCCGGCGGGAGCACTCCCCGCACACCAACCCCGCCGCTGCCTACCTGGCTCCGACGGGTGCCCACGCGGATCGCTCTGCCATCCACGCCGTTCTCTTCCTGCGGCAGCAACGGGTCGGCGCCCGCTCGGCCGGCGCCCCCGCCAGAATCCGCTCGTCCCAGGCCCACGCCGGACACCCCCAGCTCCGCCATCACCCCCAGCCCTCAGCGCCGCGCGGCCCGCCCCCCACGTGACCGCGGCCCCGCCCCCGCCGCCCTGGCCACGTGAGCGTTCCGCGCGGGGAAAGCCCCGCCCCGCCCCAGGCCCCGGCCCCGCCCCCGGCCCCGCCCCCCGCCGGCCGGTCAGTGAGGCCGCGACGCTCCGGCCACTCGCGTTTATTGAGGGCCAAGGGATGAAGCCGAACACAGGGGCCGAGGACACGGCGGGGATCCCCGTACAACACGAGAAGGCGTCTGGACACGGCCTGCAATCAGGTACTGCGCTTGCTGTGGATGAGCAGCTCCCGCTGCAGACCAGCCTCGATGGTTGTAGCGGTCTTTCCCGAGGGCAAGTCCGTGATCAGAGTGAGTTTATTGAAGACACCGCGACCAAAGTAGTCAGCAACGACTGAGAAGCCATCATTTGAACACTTGAGCTGCCAGACACAAAGCAGCATCATCAGCAAAAGCCTCCAGAGCCTCTTTCTTCTAAGCCCCCTTCCCTTCTCCTCCTGCACTTAAACCCTCTGGTTTAGTGGACAGGGCAGCTCATGTCAGTCCCTGACCCTTGGCTCAGTCCATGCAGGGGCTAGGTGTAGCAGAAGAACCTGCTAGATTTTCTGACACTGGCCGTTCCAGGTCCTCTTTCAATGCCACTTCTGAGCCATGCACCGAGGAGGTAATGAGCAACAGAATTAAGCAGGAAGGTGAGTGCCTCAACTGCTCTAGTTTCCACATGTGTTAACATTTTCCAGCTAATGTCCCCTTCTCACACTCGCCACTTAATTAATCATTGGGGAACACAAGGTAGATGCCACATTTTGGTGCTGTCCCCATTCCAATTCACACTATTCTTCTCCCTTTCTCCCTAATTAGTACTATACAACCTGTTGACTAGCTGTCACACTGACCAATAGGTCTTGAGGCCCACGTGAGGGTCAGGTGAGGATAGTCTCTCTTTCACCTTCACAGAGCCAACAATGACTCTTCATGCTCTTTACACCATGCACTCATCCTAGGGTCTGCCTCATTATCCAGTTAACATAACCTTCTTTACAAAATACTTTCAAGCCTTACCTGTCTCTACCAGCCTCCATTTACAGGTCTGTAAACAAATCTAAACTCTATTTATTTCAACTTGGTAAGACAGGCAATGTTACCTTACCTGATGCTGAAACTGGTCATGCAGATCTCTCTTCTGCTCCTGGGCTCGGATCATGTCCATCACTTTGCGATTTTCTGGCATGCAAGTAGAACATTCTGAATCACTCTCAGAGTAGCTTTCAAAGCAGTGCTGGTGAAAGGAATGACCGCAGAGGAAGTGGACTGAAGGGAGCTCCAATGCACTGGTGCAAATGCTACACTTGGTCTTCTGAAAAATCTTGGGACTGAGTGAAAGGATGGAGAAGCATGAGAAAGACAAACTACACCTTACTAAAAGAAAATAGCAGTTCTGTCCTTAAATAGCACTAGACAAGACAGCACACAGTCCTGCACCTTGCTTTTAACTCTTCAATTTCCAGGCGGATCCTCGTAGTTTCTTCTCGGTATTTCTGAATTCTCTGCTCATCCTGCTCTATCTGGTGGCTTTGCTTCTGCAGCTTGTTGACAAGATAATCCTTAATCACAGACAGGGTGGCTGTGGAGTTATGAGCCAGAGTCTGCACAACTGAGAGGAACTGAGATGTTAGTTTAAACACAAGCACAAAACCTACAGCTATACTTGTACTGCCAGGGCAGACTGCTTTCCTGGGACAGGCCACTTACAGGCAAAAGCAGCTGGCTTTCTCATGGAATCGGAAGAGCTCACTTAAAGATTCTCTTTCAGTTTGATCATTTCCCTAAATGGGCGACTAGGAGCATGTCTGGATAACTCAGACCAAAAGGGACAAAGGAAGGATCTAGTAGTGGATTGGATTTAAGTTCTTCACCAAGGCTCAACAGAAGTTTCAGCACACCCTGCACTGCCCCACAGAAATCATGTATGAGACATTTCACTGATACTGCAGATCTTTCTCCCTAACTAGGGAGCTGTGACTGACATAGTTTTTCCCTATGGAGCAGGTTATTACTTCAAATGGTAGGCTCTAATTTAATTTATTCTTGTAATGTCTGATCTACAGAAAACACTACAAACTAGTCTGGGTTGGAGTCTTTTGTGGTTTGTTTTTCTGGTTTTTGCTTGGGTTGTGGTTTTATGGCAGGGGAGGCTGAGGGTTTAATGTCACATATCATTACCAAGCAGTGGAGGCATAAGATTCTTGTTCTCAATGTGTTTCAGCACCGCAGCAATATACTCCTTGCAGTTCTCCTCCTTCCGTGCAAAGTAGCTAAGAGCCTGTTCCCAGAGACAAGCCTCTTGGTCGCCATACAACTCGCACACCTCAATCACCTTTTTGTACTGCTCATTCTGCATGTGGTAATGCATGATCTGTTGGAAACTATGGGAGAAAGACTCATCAGCTGCAACAATCCACCTCGCCCCTTGAGATTTTGCAGGGACCTCAGGTTTTCACCCAGCCATGTAATCCCCAGACTCACACAGAAGCCAAACACAAGTCTTTTTTTCACTCTATATAACTGCCTTGCTTCAACAGTGAGGTATTTCTGCAGAGCAATCATCTACCATGCCCATCTTGAGGTCACTACCATTAATGGTACAGACGTTTATGGCTCAGAAATTGGTGTAGTGGGGGCAGGAGGGGAAGCACAGGACTCTAGAGTAACAAGTAAAGACAAGAGTAATACTCACAGTTTGCCCTGCTCATAGAGGTAGAGAACACCATCCTTGAAATTGTGCATCTGACATAAGACCAAGGCCTTATCAAAGACTGTCTTGAACCTTCCGCTCTTCAGGAGCGTGAGGGCTTCATTGTGCAACTTCTCCTTGGTCTACAAAGAAGGGGGGGAGGTCAAGAAGAGGAACCCAGGCACACCCACCTACACACTATTTTGCACACTAAGACTCAACAATTTGGAGCTCTTTTGTGGCAAGTCAGTTTTGGTACTTGCTCTTTAACCCTTTTAAGCAAACAGGACACTATTTTCTTTGCCCAAACAGCCAACACCCTCACAGATCCAAGCAAGCAAGTAAAGATACTTTTGTGGGCAAGCCATCTGCTCACAGAGACTGTATTGTCTGGAATCTGTCCTTAAAAGACATACAAACAAAACAAGCTCAGCCATCCTGTAGGGAATATTCTCCCAGATACTAGGCTGCTTTCCCATTTCTGTGCTATTTGTCCAGCACAGCATATGTACTGCCTCATGTTGTCAATGCCCAGCTGGAAAGGGCATTGCAGGAATGCAAATATGACTCACAGACACCAAACCTTTCCCTCAAAACACAATGCTGCAGGAGCTCAAACCTGCTCATCTTGTTCATGTGCCCAGTTCTGCAATCGAAGTTCCAGTAAAGTGTCATAGACACCCTGTGGAGAGTCAGCTTGCACCTCAGTCATGTGCTCCAGAAAAGCTTTCAGTTCTCGGGAATTGTTTGCAAAGATGGGTATGAACTCCTCTGAATTAGCCTGTAAAACAGACACAAAAAGACAAGCACCTGCATCAGCCTTAAGCCACACTAGTGCTTCCTTCCTGCCATGAGGAATGTTCATTTCCAAAGTCTCAGACAGGACGGATAGAGCACAATACAGGATACCGACAACATCAAGGATCAATCCTGAGCAATAACTTTAAGAGGTCCCCTGCCTCTAGGATGGGGCTTCTCATAGAATCATTGGATAGTTTGAGTGGGTAGGGATCTTTAAAAGCCATCTAGTTCAATACCTCTGCAAAGAGCTGAGACATCTTCCATTTCATCAGGTTGCTCAGGTCCTCATCCAACCTGACTTGAGTGTTTTCAGGGATGGGGCCATCTGCCAACTCTCTGGGATACCTGGTTCAGTGTTTCACCAGCCTCATTATAAAAAGTTTCTTACTTCTATCTAGTCTAAATCTGACCTCTTTTACTTTAAAATTATTACCTCTTGTAGCATCAAAACAGGCCTTGTAAAAAAGTTTGTCCTCATCTTTCCTATAAAACTCTTTTGAGTACTGAAAAGCTGCAATGAGGTCTCCCTGAAGCCTTCCTTTATCCAGACTGGGCAAGCCCAGCTCACTCAGCCTTTCTTCAGAGCAGCTGTGTTCCATCCCTCTGATCATTTTTATAGCCTCCTCTGGACCCACTCCAAAACATCCATGTGCTAAGGGTTCCAGAGCCAGACACAGTATTCCAGATGGGGTCTCACCTGAGCAAAGTTTATTAAGTTATAATTCTCATTATACCTAAAACATCAGGATGACAACACAAGGCATGCAGAAGCACTCTGCAGTAGCAAAGTTACTACTGGAGAGCAACAGCTCTCAGTCAGCACATACCATACCTTTTTTCCTTCTAGCATCCCAGGGCACTCATTACCTCCCGAGGGATGGTAATCAGTGCAAAGGATCTTCAGCAATTCAGTGGTCTCATTAGGGACATGGTGCATCAGGATTTTACCATATCGCTTCATGTTACCCTCTGCCTGTTCAAATGGCAGTTTTCCAATGTAGTGCAAAGCCTCTTGGTAGTTCTGTGAAGACAGACAACAAAACAATCACAGGACACTGGCCTCTGCTCTCTACCTTGAGCTTAGGGCAGAAAGCATTGAAGACATGCTGTATGCCACAAATACCATTTACCCTGAATTATCACCTAGTTCACTATTCCAGCTCATCTTCCTCCTCAGGGACAAAGACTGGATACAGCCTGGGGGAAACATTTAGATGAATCCCCCCAACTAAGCACTCTCGCTCCTCTTAAAGAGCACTGTAAAAAGTGGCATCAGGAAGAA